GTCCCAAGAAACTGAAAAAAGGAGTAAGATAAGATCAGAGAAAGAGTGTATCTTAAAATTTTCCCATTCAATGAAGGTAATGGAAGAAGTTACTCTACACCCTGTATCCATAATACCCCTTTAATTTGTCCTCCCATACAATTCAAGAAATCCAGCAAAAGTTGGATTTTGCCATCTACTATTTTTGCAATTCAGGACCCCTTTGAACAAAATTTTTGGATTTTAGACTCTAAGTACATTCATATTTTCTTTATATTAAAATTTATATATTTTAATAATTAAATAACATTTACACACCAATAATAAAGTAATTAACTTTTAACGAGTAAAACACTATAATTAATTAATCTCTCAATACATATACAAATGAAAGTATTAATCATCTTGATAAAAAAAAATATTTATAATTAATAAATCTCTCAATGGGGTGTAAGTAAATCCTCCACTAAGATGTGGACCATTGAGGTAGGTTATAGTGCTTGTATATATGTGTTCACATGTAATCATAGTCTTCAGTTTCTCTGTCTAAGTCCCTCACTTTAACCTACTTTTTCTGCGGGGAAGAAGGATCAGAAGACCAGACCAGGCAGACTTTTCCAAGTTTTCAATTGCAACCAGCCCAATTTGTAAAGGGTTTATTGCTTTCTACTTTCTACTTTCTACTTTCTACTTTCTACTTTCTACTTTCTACCTCTACCTAAAGGGTCACTTGCCCTTGGAGTTAAGGTCTATATGACCGACATGCATACCCTCTGGTCTTAAACACTGAAAGAGATAAACCAAAGGTTCTTCCCCACCACCTGCTTCCACTAATGTAACCAAACTGCTTAATTCTCATTTAATACCTTCTTTTTTGTTCTCTCCTTGCATAATTTTTATAATTAATTTACCTTCTAACATAAAAGATTATATATAGTTGGTGTCAGAAATTAATTGTATTTATTATATAATCCAAGATATTTGGTGTGAATTTATTCAATATTCTTTCTTTTTTATTATGTTGAATCGTACGTATTAATTTAACATAATTTGCAAGATCTTGTACGATTAGATATTGAAATATTAACCGTAATGTATTTTTATCTACGATCGACGGATTTTTTTTTTCGTATTACACTAACATGTGATTTAACATATTTAGTATCGATTTGTATTGTGTTATTGTCATGCTGGCCATACTCTTTTATCTTTAAACTTGTGAGCTATATATATATATATATATAATCATGAAAATTAACATTTTTGGTTTATATACATGCATATATATATATAGATATGTGTGTGTATGTGGCAATAAATTTGGAAATTAATTTCTGATATTCCTATCTTATATTTATGCATTGTCTACATGATCTTCATGCCAGAAGTTTAGATATTTGTTTGGCACTACTAACAAAAAGCTTAAGATTTATATGGCCTTTGAATTGACACTACTCTATATATATTTATACTATATTGTATTTTATAAGATACATATACAAAAATATATTTTATATGTATAATGCAAAGATGTGGAGTCTTAGCTAGAACATAAAATCATAGAATTTATTGAAGGATAATGGCACAATTCCATTGCAATCCATTTGTTGCCCAACTGCAATACAATAACAGCACACACACACATATATATATATATATATATTATATGCATACAGATACATAGATATGTATGTATGTATATATATATATATATATATAAGAGACAAAAAAGAGGAATTGGGTTTTTGATAATAATACAAAATGGGCTGGACATGGAAGCTATTAAGTTGATGAGGAAGTTCTTGAAGAGCTACAAAATGGACTGTTGAATTCGAATCAGCAATGACCCTATAAATTTAATATTATAAATTCATTTTTTTATAATTTAATAACATAATTTAACCCGAAAAATAATTTTAAATTAACTTATCCGGACAAAAAAATAATTTCGTAACAGTTAAATTTTTTTAATTGAAATAGGTATAACTAGTTAAAAAAAACACAGCTTATACTGTACTCTCTTCAACCAAGTCTCGGTCTAAGTCCTCGATTTGTTTCAAGGGATAGCTTCGTATTTGCACGAACCATGACCTGTTATTTAATACCAAAAGAAAAAATTAAAAATATTTTTATAGTATATTTTTAAGATAATCAGTTCAATTTATTATATAAAAAAATATATATTAGATTATAATCTAAATTTAGATAGTTCTAACGAGAGTAATCCAATAATTATTAAATAATTTTTTACCTGTTAAATTAAAATTAGCGTACTCGAGTTTATATACAAAAAATAGAGTAAAAATACAATATAAGAACAAAATCGACTCTTTAATTTTATCTTAAATTCTAACCCAAAACCAAATAATTCAAGAATGAATTATTGAGATATATATATATATATATAGTGGGTGAGGTGAGTATGTTACTTGGATCAAGATCAGTGATCATAGCAGCTGAATTGAAGTAGCAAGTAGCTCCATTCTTCTTGAACTTTTGGTAGTAACTGTTGAAGGCATAAGAAGCATGATCTCTCACAGTGTTTGGCATAAAACAAGCTTTATTTGCTTGTAACTCTCTGCAATCTACACCTCCCCTCCCACAAGCCCAATCCAATGCCATCTGCAACTCATCATCTGGTGTTTGCTCATCAGCCATGCACCACTCTTTGAACTGCCCCTCTGAAATTCACCGTAAAACACGTGTCTCGAATTGAAATTTTAAACGAAAACTCATAAACAAATTCGATAAATTTATTAATATGTTGACAGAGAAGAAACGAAAAATTTACCCGACTTCTGAGGATTAAACATAATAACGAAGAACACAAGTAGTAGAAGTTTGAACAAGGCGGACGACATTTGGGGACGGATGTTCTTGTCTAAATCTGTAAATAAAACTTGGAGGAATGTATAGTTGAGGTATATATCATTCAAAGTAAATTTGACAAGGAATTTTTTTGCTTTTAACAAAGCTGAGATTCCAATCTATTTATGTACCTAAAGTATGCTCTTCACTTTTTTTTTTTTACATCGTCGGATAAAAATTATAACGAGTTATACGTATCTCGACTAATCTACTCTCGGATGCTGTTAAACTCTGTTTGATTAATTGATTAGTGTATAAGAATCTGGTGAAATGTATAAAGATTTCTGATTAATGGGTAATGAAAGATTGAATTTGGTCATTAGCCAGAAAAAGTTTAAGAATGTTTTGCAGGGAAGAATCAAGATGAGACTGCCTGTGAAGCAAACTCTAAAATCAACAAACTACTTTTTGGATTTACAACTTTTTCTTTATGAACTCATATAAATGTGTGTTCTTATTGGTATAATCAAAAGTTTATAAGTATTAAGTTTGATCATAGAAAAAATTATTCTTATTCAAATTATACGGAATAAAATATATCATGTATCGAGTGAAAAAATAGTAAAACGAAGAAGTTTTCGAATTACAAATTTTAATACAAATGGGTAAAATGTAATTTTATTTGAAGCACGAACAATTATATTATGAATTTCAAAAATCCATGCAAAGTTGACAGAATGAAAAGATTATCTTAAAATTTTGCAAAAGAAATTTAATAAGAAAATATCTTCAAAGTTTTTTTAGTGCAATTAAAGCTTTTATTTTTTTTTCTACTTAAATTAGGGATTTGATGGATTTCCCTAATTTAGGGATCTGATTTTAGTCAAATTGAATTTCTTTAGACTCAAGAATTCCATGAATCTCTTTTTACCTTTTGCTTTTTTAAAAAAAAAAAATTTAAAGATAAATCACATGGTACTTTTAAATATTAATTATATATAAACAAAATTTTAAATATTATTTGTTTAAAGTTTAAAATATAAGCATAAAATTAATATCATAATATATAATAATTATCAATTTAAATTTTAAAAAGATTACAAATTTATAAATAAATTTCAGAAAAATAATTAATTTTCTCCAAAGATTGAATTCAATTTCAGCTGTGCCAAAAGTAGATTTACCATATTGAGTCCATGCATGGATTTGGATTAATCCTTTTGAATTTCAAACTTTTAGAAATCATGAACCTAAACCTTTGTTATTTTTGTATACATTCAAACTTTGTCTGAGTTGCTGCAGAAGAGGCCTTATCTGGAATCTAATTCCATTCAATCAATCATTACAACTGCATGAATCTTTAAACTTGATCCAAAATTTCACTCCTTTTCATCATTTTCCTTTCACCCAGAACCCATAAATATTTACCAGTTATAAATGGAATTTTTCATGATTCAACTACTGATTTCGCCATTAACAAAGTTCATCTTAGAACACTTGACCACCCTTTACTGATAATCGGCTAACTAGAACTAACACATGACGAACATCTTCATACAAACTTCACTCTTCTCTCATGGTATCATCACTAACACATTAACTCTTCCAATATTACAATATTACCGTTAACGAAGTAGTATATAAAGCTCCTTCTTTTTTTTTTTTTTTGGTTTACAGATGAAGAGAAGTGTCAACATCTTCATCAGGGTCAGACCCATCAAATCTATTCATGGTGAAGGCTGGTTTCTCTTTAGGCCAAAGACCCATCAGAAGTGGTGAGTCCACACTTTTGTCAAACCCTGAAACTTTGATCTGTGAGTCAAGAGAGAGAGATGGAGGCGGTGACCTCGGAGGAAGGAAGTGAAAGAACAACTGCGATGATGGCTCGTTGTAATGCATACCAGGTGTTTGTTGTTTTGTTTCGATGAGATTCTTTAGTAGCTCCCGCTCTTCTCTCATCTCCTTCACTCTCTGCAACTGTCTAAACCTCTCTTGCAGTAGAGCAATGGAGGATTGGATCATGATAGGATCACTGTTGTCCCTACCCATTTGAGGTGATATGTAGAGAGATGGTCTGGCACACTCTTTTTCAAGTAGTTGTAGTGATAGTAGTAGCAGTGTTTGTTATGGAAGTGTACTAAGATGGTGAAATGGGTGCGTAGATATATATATAGGGTGTTGGGGATGGTGCTTGAATTAATCAATGAAGATTTAGTGGTTCAAGGAAATTCCAAATGATTTAAAAAAAATAAAAGAAGGAATGAGAGAATCAGCAGATAAGTTGGGAAAGTCCATAGAGAAAATGTTGAGTGGCCAATCTAAGAGGAGTACTTTGGTGAAGTGTTTGTGAGGAGACAGGCAAAAGCATAGTTAAAAGAGAAAAGGGGTCTGAAGAAAAAGCCAAAAGAATGTTGAAAGTAGCACATGGAAGGGTATGTTTGGAGGAATAACAGGTTGGGTGATGCTCTGTCAGCTTCCTCCCAAAAACCCTTTTATCTTTCTACCCAATTTCTTTTTCTTCTTTTTCATTTTCTTCATGATGAACTCTTTTATTTGGTGTGCTTTGCATTGAGTCTTTAACATCAATTTTTCTTTCTTTTTTTTTTTCTCTCAAATCACAGGAGTTCGTCAAAGAAACTCGAATAACTACATTATGCAATAGAAATTAAAAATCACCTGAATTTATTAGAATTATTCATAACGAAAGATAAATTTTTTTCTTTCATAATCTTCCGAATTAAGAATTGATATATGAATAAGATCTGATTTTTTCTTTTTTGTGGAACAAATAACTTGTAAAAGTTTATCGTATTTGATCTATGAGCAGCATTTCGCCTTAGATATATTTGGTTAAATTTTTATTGAAGGTATTGAATTTTGCCATGTTTTACAAAAGCATAATTTCATATTGGAATTATACAAAAGTATGATTAATGGTATAGATACCTTACATTTACCTTATAAGTACAAAACTATAAAGAAAAAAGTAATAATCATTAAAACTTTACGGTAAAAATAGAAAGTACAGAAAATAGTGAAATAACCAAATTACCCATGCATTTTCAACTTGTTAATTTTGGAGAAAAACAAAATCGAGATGAAAAGAAAGAGAATCCTTGCCCTAAATAGGGATGACAAATGAATACAGTGAGTTAGTGGATCTAAATCAATCAGTCAAGTTAGTTCATATTAATTTTTAGTTGAATTATGGGTAGGATTGAGTTAGTGTTTAGAAGTAAAAAATCTCATCTTATTCAACCCGATTAGATATAATTTTTTTTTATTTTTAATTAATTGTGACCCCCTCCTCCCTTAAAAAAATCCAAAACAAATTAAAGATTTTATATATTTAAGACGGGATTGAGTTTGAATTTTATGAAATTTACCATAAAACAATGCGTTGTCATCCCTACTTCTAGACCTTCTCTCAAA